AGTCTACAACTGTACCTCATGGTGTCTCACTAATAAAAATTTTAAAAATATATTCTGCAAAGAGAGTAAAGACAGTGCACTCACCAAACTAGAAACGTTCTGCTTGTGATGAGATTTTAAGTTAGAGACTAGTTATGTGTTTTTTTATCACTACACAGAAGTGTTAAGACTTTTTTTTTTTTTTTGCTTTTTTAGGTAACACCCAGCAATGCACAGGGGTTACTCCTGGCTCTGCACTCAGGAATTACTCCTGCTGGTGCTCAGGGGACCATATGGGATGCTGGGAATCAAACCCAGGTCAGCCACACACAAGGCAAACGCCCTTGCTGCTGTGCTATGATCCAGCCCAGAAGGTTAAGACTTTAAGAAAGATCCTGTTTCACTTTTTATTCATTGGCTTCAAAGACCACTGACTGGGAACAGGCATTCTGCTTCTGTTCTCAAGGGCTGAAAGTTGATTTTTTTTTCTTTTTTTTTTTTTTTTTTAAGTTTTATTAGTGAGACACCATGAGGATTTTTTTTTAACTGTGGCAGTACCTCCCGGGCAGTGCCCATGGGCCCTCTTGATGATTCTCAACCCACCTGCTTGGGGGTTTAGTGCAAAGGCCTGAGGATAAAGGTGCTCTGAGGCCCAGAAGTTTGGGGACATGTGGTGTTAGACTTGAACTGGGCTTCTGGAAGCAAGAGTTGTACCTCAACCCCTGTCCTGATAGCTGAACTTAGAAAAACTGACAACATTTGAAGTTCAGCTCTAATCTTGAAATATGAAAACAAGAATGTAGGTTTGTGTTTGGTCACTGTTTTATTTGATGCTTTAAAATTTTTTAATTGAATCACTGTGTGTTCCCCCCGCCCCATTTTTTTATCTTCTCTTTTTTATTTTTTTTCTTTTGGCAATGGGTGGGGGGCATATGTGGTAATGCTCAGGGCTTACTCCTGACCCTGCACTCAGAAATTACCTCTGGCAGTGCTCAGGGAACCATAGCGGAGCCAGATAGCAAATCCAGGTTGGCCATGTGCAAGGCAAACACCCTACCTGCTGTATTATCATTCCAGCCTAAATAGAAGTTCTATAAAAAAAGAAGTTATTTCACACAATGATTAGCTCTACATTAGAAGAATTCTTTGGGGCAGGAACAATAAGACAGTGTGTAGGGCACTTGCCTTGCACGTGGTCAACTGGGGTTCAATTCCAAGCACCCTATGTAGTCTCCCGAGCACCCCCAGGAATGATTCCTGAGTGCAAAGTCAGTAGTAAGCCCTGAACCCGGCCAGTGGTGCTCCACCCCCCCCAAAAGAATTCTTTTCCTTTATTAAAACTTTAATAAATTAGAAAAGAATAATATCTATCTACTTCCTAAATTACTTCTATACTTAAATACTAACTTGATGTGGACATATATAAGCAAGATGGAATGCAACACGAAAATACAAGGGAATGTACTGTACCTTGTTTTACCTGTAAGGAACACACACCTGACAAAAGGCAAGTTTCACATCCAAGATCGGTTCACTGCAGTAGTACAATAAGTGGAGGCTCATAAATACCTAGAGATAAAAGGGAGAAGCATAAGTTTCCCATCACCTCATTATTCACTGTTTAATAGTAGTATGGACATTAATGTAATTTGAATTACATGCAAAATCATGATAGCATACACTCAGTAGGATCTTCCATACCAGTACTAGGTTATTTTTCAGAACTTGTAAATATTAAACTAAACAACAAGACATAATAAAAAAAAATTTCCTGGCTTCTGTAATTTTCAGTGTCATCATAATCATAAAGATAAATATAAAAAATTAATTATATCCTATTAGCCAAGGCTTTCAGTTCTAGGCATCAAAGTTTTAAAAGATGTCAAAATAATCTCTAGATGACAAATGCAAGGATGCTTATTATAAAACAAGTGAACTATTATGTAAAACGTAACTCATAAAAGGATTGTATACGGGGCTTAAAATTATTGCATCAGAGCTGAGTTCAAGCATGATGTTGAGTAGAGACCAAAATGTTTCAAAAGGACAAAGATTCTATGCTGTTAATGCACATATTTTAGGTATAAAAATGGCAATGTGCATTGGTTTGTTATATGACTCTATAACTGTGGACAAGAGAAAATTTGGCGCAATATTAAAGTTTGTTTAATCTTGTTAGTAAGTACAAATAGTTCGATTACATTATTTTTTCATGTTTTAGATACTTTATAAGTTTGTCAAGTTTTGAGGAAAAAAATATTCAAGGAGAAAATATCAAATCAGTAACTGGGAATTACTTGAGAATGAAGAGGCGGCATCAGCAAAATCAGATTGAAATCTTCTGTTCAATTAAACAAACTCTGTTGAATATTGTGTTCAAAACACAATTCTATGAAATTAAACAATTTGAAACTGCTACTGACACCAACTTTCTTTTGCTTGCATATACTAATTACATATCCTAAAGAGCAAACTTAATGTAAAACACCTTTAAAAAGGTACATAATGGAGTGATAGCACAGTGGATAGGGCGTTTGCCTTGCATGCGGCCGACCCAGGTTCGATTCCCAGCATCCCATATGGTCCCCTGAGCACACAGCTAGGAGTAATTCCTGAGTTCATGAACCAGGAGTAACCCCTGTGCATCACCAGGTGTGACCCAAAAAGCAAAAAATAAATAAATAAATAAATAAAATGGTACATAATACAAACAAATATTTTAAATTTTTGTTTGTTTGTTTGTTTTTGCTTTTTGGGTCACACCTGGCGATGGACAGGGGTTACTCCTGGCTCTGCACTTAGGAATTACTCCTGGCGGTGCTCAGGGGACCCTATGAGATGCTGGGAATCGAACCCGGGTTGGCCGCGTGCAAGGCAAACGCCCTACCTGCTGTGCTCCAGTCCCCAATATTTTTAATTTTTTAACATTTAAAAATATACTTTAAAATTCAGAACTATTTTTGGGGTAAAAATGAGCAGGAAAAACTGAGTGCTTGAATACACTAAGAAAAATACTCCATTAGCCTTGCAGGCAGTCCTCCCATGTTCAATCCCCGGCACCACATGTGGTCCCCCGAAAGTTCTGCCAAGAGTGACCTCTGATCACAGGGCCAGGAGAAAGTCCTTAGTCCAGATGTGTGTGGTCCAGAAAAGAAAACTGAACAAATCTATCAGCATTATATAGTAAGTGCAAGCACAGCCTGTCATCTAATGTGCCCACATCTACGGACAAGAGAGAGCCCTCAGCGAGCTGAGCGCATGCTCTGTATGCAGGAGGCCCGGGTTTTATCCCTGGCACCAAACGATCCCTCAAACACCACTGGAGGAAACCCCCAAAGCACAGAGTCAGAAGTCCCCCCCCCGAATAATGACAGTTGTGCCCACCCTCCAAAAAATCCAAACAAAACCCAATAATTCTACATCTACAGATTTTCTCAAAGAAACGTTGTTTTATCATGATGCTGATAGGACAATCCATAGGGTTTTTTCATCGTAGTAAAAGAAATAATTTTAAAGACTGGAAAAGGTAAATATCCACAGAGACTAACGATGTACTCATGTAGTGGAATGCCACATAGCAATGGAATGTGTGAAATGACAAACATCTCATAAATGTATTAAACATATGATAAGAATTCAAGGCTCGGGGCTGGAGAGAGAGAGTTCTGTTGGGAGGAAGGGCATTTGCTTCACACTTAGGAGACCCAGGTTTGATCCCCAGTACCCTATAGGGTCCCCCTACCCCATCAGGAGAGTCCCCCTGAGGTCCAGGAATAAGCCCTGAGCACGCTGGAGATGACCTCCCTCAAACAAAAACCAAAAAAAAGTCAGATTTAATTCATTCACAGCTGTATGCATAGCTAAATATTTTATTTAAGGAGACCTTTTTATTGTGATAAAACTGTAAAGGAAGGGGCTGGAGCAAGAGTACACTGGGGAGGGTGTTTGCTTTTTATGTGGCTGACACGGGTTTGATACCCCGCATGCCATATAGTTCCCCGAGGAACTGCCAGGAGTAATTCCTGAGTACAGAGCCTAGAGAATAACCACTGAGCATTGCTGGCTGTGACAACCCCCCCCCCCCCCGCCACACACACACACACACACACACACACACACACACACACACACACGTATCATACCTGTAAGGAAAAACAAGCAAAGGCAAAATTCAAAAAGTTTTGGGGTAGGCAGCTGTCCCAGGAATCAGAAGGTCAATGGGAACCATAAGGAGATTTTCAAAATCATTCCTACGTCTACTTCCTCCCGTGGAAGGTTGGAGCCATGAATGTTCGTTTAATTATTTTAAACCCCACACAGACGGAAAAAAAAAAATACTTTGGTAAGTCTAAAATATTTTCTAATGGAAAAGTGAAAGTGACAAAAAGAGCCGGTAGCCATCCTCCCTCTCATTTGTTGGGCAATGGCTCTGTGAATGCTGAGATGAGACTTTCCACAACTCCCTTACAAGAAATAAGAAATGCCCCCAGAGAAGTGCTCGGAAAGAGCCGAAGCTTGATGATTCCATTAAGCTTCTTTTTTTTTTCTTTTTGGGTGATACCCAGTGATGCACAGGGGTTCCTCCTGGCTCTGCACTCAGGAATTATCCCTGGCAGTACTCGAGGACCATAAGAGATGCTGGGAATCGAACCCGGGTCAGCCGCGTGCAAGGCAAATGCCCTACCCGTTGTGCTATCGCTCCAGCCCCTATTCCATTAAGCTTCTGAACTGAAAGAATCAACATTCTTCATGTGTTGTTTTATTTTACTTAATAATTTTTTTAAAAAGGTAAAGGTAAAGGCCCTCCTGTTGATCGTCGATTTGCTCGAGCGGGCCCAGTAACGTCTCCATTGGAGACTTTGTTGTTACTGTGTCTGGCATATCGAATACTCTCGGTAGCTTGCCGGGCTCTCCGAGAGGGGTGGAGGAATCGAACTCGGGTCGGCCATGTTGGCCGCTTGTAAGGCGAACCCCCTTACCCGCTGTGCTATCGCTCCAGCCCATAATAATGGGCTGCACATATACTAAAATTCGGCAGCACATATACTAAAATTGGAATGATACAGAGAAGATTAGCATGGCCCCTGCGCAAGGATGATGCAAATAATTTTTTAATTATTTAATTTATAGGAATATAGCTGCAGATGTCATTTTTATTTTACATATACGTTAAGAAACATAATAGTATGCTTTTATCTCCCAGCTCAATTCTTTTATCTATTTTTGTCATGTACTTATACTTAATAAACATAATACAGTGCTATTTTTTGCACCAAAAGAGTAAATTTATTTTAAATAAATAAATTACAAGCAAGGGTACTTTATATTCATTCCTATGTTTTCTGTGTATAGTTTTTTCATACTTTTAAGTTTGATTTTTAATACTGAAAGATTTTTTAATTTAAAAGTTTAAAATTTGGGCGTTTGCCTTGCACGCAGCCAACATGGCCGACCTGAGTTCGATTCCTCCGCCCCTCTCAGAGAGCCCGGCAAGCTACCGAGAGTATCTCGCCCACATGGCAGAGCCTGGCAAGCTCCCCGTGACGTATTCGATATGCCAGACACAGTAACAACAAAGTCTCCAATGGAGACATTACTGGGCCCGCTTGAGCAATTTTTTTATTTTTATAGTTGTTCACAGTAATTGATTTCATTCAATATTCCAATACCAATCCCACCACCAGTATACCTTCCCACCACCATATTCCAAATTATTCCACCCCGACCCCCAAAGCCTACCCCCCAAAGCAGAACATAAATAATTTATTTTGTATTGCTGGTTATGAATAATCTACCAAAGATGATCCGAAACTGTTTCCTTAGATGAAAATGTGTGAAGACTGTTGAATCACCTTGGAGCCATTAAGCCCTTGCATAGAGTACGGGATATCCCATGGCCCCGAGCAACCCAGGAATTCTAAGATTTTAAATAAGGTGATACAGGTTAGAATTAAATTTTCAACTGAATGGTGACTTTAGGGTTGGTGGTATCTCTGCGGCATGTTGCTCTCTTCCTCTTCTGACATTTATTTGTGAATCTCTGGATCAGGATCGTTTTGATAGCCCACTCTGTACTCACATCGGCAGTGCTCCAGGGCCACTAGAGGATGCCTGGGAGTGTTTTGGAGGTCAGGCAATGTGGGAACTGAACTCAGAAATTTGCATATGCAGGGTATGCACTCAATCACTTAAACCACACCACATCAGTCCTACGTTTATGTATTTTATACTATCATAAGTTATATATTATTTTATTTATATTTTCCAAATATTCATCCAAAACATTTAAAATACGTCATTTCATTATTTTGCAAAATGCATTAAATGGAAAAAATCACCAAGCTACTCTTTTTTTTTGTACTATCTATCTCTCCTTTATTCTCTTCCCCAAAGAAATGATTTTTTTTTAATTTTTATTAGTGAGACACCGTGAGGTACAGTGGTAGACTTACAAATTTTCGTGCTTGCATTTCAATTATGCAATGATCGAGTACCCATCCCTCTACCAGTGCCCATTTCCCACCACCACGGATCCCAGGATCCCTCCCACCCCCCCATCCCCCCATCCCACCCTGCCTCTGTGGCAGGGCATTCCCTAACCATTCCCTCAGTCTCTCACAATATTTTGATGATATATTTTAACTGAATCACTGTGAGATAGTTATAAAGCTTTCATGTTTGAGTTTCAGTCATACAATGATCAAACACCCATCCCTCCACCAATGCACATTCCCCCCCACCACTGTCCCCAGTATCCCACCCCTCCCCCAATCCCATCCCTCCCCATGCCTCTATGGAAGACAATTTCCCTCTTTCTCTCTCTCTGCTATGAGGCATTACGGCTTGCAATACAGATACAGAGAGGCCATTTGATGATATTTCTATAGGGAATATCTTCTACAGCATAACTGTTGGCTATGCTTAGATTTTAGGTTTCTTCCATAAAAAATGTGATCTTCCAAGTCAAGTAAACATACACTGTTTATATGTTTACAGTCCCAGAGTCTGTTCTTAGTTATGCAGAATCTTCAGTAGCACTGTAGCACTGTCCTCTTGTTGTACATCGATTTGTTCAAGCGGGCACCAGTAACGTCTCACAACAAATTGTGAGACTTGTTGTTACTGTTTTTGGCATACAAAACACACCACGGGGAGCTTGCCAGGCTCTGCCATGCGGGCAGGATAATCTCAGTAGCTTGCTGGGCTCTCTGAGAAGGATGAAGGAATCGAACCCAGGTTGGCCACATGCAAGGCAAATGCCCTACCCACTGTGCTATCGCTCCAGCCTGTCCTATCACTCCAGTTCAGTATGTTCATCGATTTGTTCGAGCGGGCCCAGTAACATTGTGAGACTTGTTATTACTATGTTTGGCACATCGAATATGTCACGGGTAGCTTGCCAGGTTTTGCCGTGCACGATACTCTCAGTGGCTTGCCGAGCTCTCCGAGAGGGGCAGAGGAATCGAACTCAGGTCGGCCAGCTATCTATCCAGCCTGTCCCATCGCTCCAGTTCAGTATGTTTATTGAATAAAAAATACTCAGATAGAAAAGAGATTCATTATTACTTTAGCACTAATCTAAATATTTTCATCATCACCTCACATCGATCCACCTGTGAATTCTGAGTACATTTGCTGCTATCAAATCAGGAATGAAGAGTTTGCAACCATGAAAATATGAAAGCACAGCCTGGACAACTTCACAAATGCCCCCCAGCAGGGCTGTTTCACTCCTGCACAGCTGAACTGGGCCTGTGGGAAATAATGACATTCAGTCCACCACCAGAAAAGAATAACTAGTTTAATTTTTAATAAATAAAAAAAATCTTACTATGGAAAATAAGCAGACTGACCTTTGCTGGCTGCATTTCAAAGACTCCAAATGTAACTCCATGACTAAGTCACCAAGTTACTACAGAATCTTCTGGTTTCTCTTGCGATTTAGAAAGAAGATCCCTCTATATGAAATCCCTAGTAAATAAGAGAAAGCTAGTTTGGCAATTATAGGTTCTGCTAGTATGGCAGAGAACACTTGGCAAAACTGCCTAGGAACAACACAAACAGCTCAGGGTATTTTCTCAGTATTTGCAGAAAGTGAGAATTAGTGGCAATAGCTTGGTACGAATAGGACCCAGGAGTAGATAGGAAATGAAGGGGGAAATAATTGGGAGCGTTTAGTGCTTTCAATTACTGCTTGTTCATGTGGGAAAAGCCCCCTGCGGACATCCCTTGCTATGTGTAGGCTCAGCTCCTCCTCATTACATGCCTACGTAAGTCAATGATTGCTCTGAGCAAAACAGTGGGCCAAATTATATGAATGAGATCTACTTCTGAACTTATTCGGTTGGACTGATGCAGAGCAGCTGCTGCAGAAAGAATAATGTCAGTAGGATGCGTTTTAATAGCTCATATCATTGCTTAATTTTTTTGTACATAAGATAGGCTAACTAAATCACAGGAGCTTTTAAGAAGTTTCACAAATGGAAAAATCAAATTGTTGTGGGCATTTTCAGGATCCCAAGGGTTGTCACTGAAATGCAATCTATACATGGAAAAACAAGTAACTGATAGCAATTTTTTTAGACAATCAACAGTCTCCATCTTGATTCAGTATATAATAAACAAAATCTATAAGTAACTCTTGGATTCATTGCAAATGATTCTCCAACAGCCTGAAATTATGAGATTAGAACAAAATCACTGTTCATTATTAAAATAAAGTCTTCAAAATTACTTTTAAAAATTTAATTCTCCTTTTGTACTGAAAGAATTCTCCCAAATATGTGCAAAAAAATAAAATGCAAGTATACCTTGTAACTAATAAATTTTATATGTTGGTATGGAAAATGAAATTAATTTTTGACTCATACTATACATATTATTTTAAAATTCTTATGCCCATGTTTAATCACTTGGAGAAGAGGTCAACAAACTGTGGCCAATACAAAAATCTCAATTTCTCACCTGTTTGGAAAACAAAGTTTTATAGGAATGCTGATATCTATCATTTTGTATGTTGTTTTGGGCAGATTCCACACTATAATGGGAGAATTGAATAACTGTGACAGAAACTACCTGGTTCACAAATTTTTATCAAATAATAACTAGGTTCCTAACTTCACGTTTACCCAAGGACATCTGGAAGCCCATCACTAATCAGTACGAAAGCAAAATTAATGTCTCTAACAATAGATATAAACTATGCAAAATACTCCCTAACAAATGATATACAACATCTAATAAAAAACTATCTGCTGCCAAGGAATTTTTGCTTGTTTACAAGTAAAATTTAAGTATAAAATTATATAAAAGATAGTGTTAAAGTTGGGAAGTCTCTTTTGTAAATGTAAAAAGTAACTTATGGGGTTAGAGAACATATAGGAAGCATCTATGAATGGGAGTGATCATGTCTTACATGTCTGAGACACCAGGTGCAGTCTCTGGCATCAAAAACAAGGTACATTGTTTTGTCTTTTAGACATTTTATCAAAGCAACATTGTATTGTAACACTAGGTAAGTTTCAGGTATGCATCAATAAACATCAACAGGGATATGCATCAAGTTCACCATTGAAAGTCTAATTCTCTTTCAAAATATATTTGTCTCCTTGGAACAAATTAACTTATTTCCCTTTCCTCTTCCTTTACATAACCCCCAATGAACATTAGAGTTCAAAATTTCATTTTATCAATTTTATCTGTTAATTTTTCTTCTATGCCACATAAAGGAGAAATCACATGATAGTTTTCTTTCTTCATCTATCTTATTCACTAAACATGGCATTCTTTTTTGGTTTTGGGTCACACCTAGCGATGCCCAAGGTTTCCTCTTTGCTCTGCACTCAGGGATCATTTCTGATGATGTTCAGGGGACCACATGGGTCTCTGGGGATCAAACCCAGGGCAGCCACATGCAAGGCAAATACCCACCTACTGTGCTATCACTCTGCTCTCTAAATGTGGTATTTCTGGGTCTCCATGTTGCTGCAATGACAGGATTTCATTTTTGTTTGTTTATTTGTTTCAAGCTGTATTGGATTCCATTGTGTATATATAAAATACATCTTTAAAGGGCACTTAGGTTGTTTCCAGTCCTCTACCTCTCTTCAAATTAGTACTTAAGGGTTTT